AGGGAGAGACGTGAGAAGATCGACCAGATGACGATTGGGAGTGCCCAACCACCGTTGATACGACGCTGAGCGACACACTTGACTGGGGCAACTCAGCGGAGATAGGTGAGGTCGAGCCTGGGGCACAAACACTCGTATCCGGGACAGGCAGCGAAGCCATGACATCGGAAGAGGATACCGTCGGTGGTTGAGTAGCCACGACTGACGACGTCGACAGAGGACCAGAAGACGAAGAACCCACCGAAGTCGTCGAATCAAACGCAGGAACGGTGTCGTCGGCAGGTTCGGGCATCTCAAACTCGTATTCAGCTTCGCTCGAAGCTTCATCGTCATCTTCAGCGCGAGCAGAACCAGCTAGCTGTGCAGCAGAACTCAGCTGAAGGTGACGAAACGTTTTTTCGCCGAGTCCGACGACGAGATTTACCAGAGCGGGGCTTTCCTCCATCGGACACGGTAGCTTGAGGAGAACTTGAACGCAAAAGGGCACTGATAGTCTCGTGTCCCTCCTCCCCGGGAAGTGGACAAGCGTACGGCTGAGGCGGATGTGGCGCCGGCGAACGATGACGAGGACCCGCAGCAATTGGAGACTTTGGATTTGCATAACGCCGAAGCCGCTGCGTCGACGCCAAGTCCGCCAACGGAGTACGATGAAGCTGGGCGAGGGTCGGCTCGGGTTGACTCGTAGCCGCCGCTGAGCTGACAGGAGCCGCAGCCGAGTCCGCCGAAGGGGGGTGCAGCTGTACAGCTCAACCGGCACTCAACCCTTGCGGCACGCTCAGTTGGAGATCGCTGAGCAGCGGGCAGCTGCGACAGAAGCGGTTCATTCGTCGGAACGGTATCATTCCGATGCACGACCCTCACATGGCTGCTGCCGACGCTGGTTTGGAGTTCTTGGACTTGATCCGTCCGACCCCCTTCTTACCGCCCGGCTGTGTCGTGTCTTGGAGTCTCGCTTCCCTGAAATTATCCACATTCCAGCTGGTGAAACTCGGCGGATGGAGTTGATCGTTCATTCTCGTCAAGACGCCCCAGTGACTGGTTTTGCTGCTGGTCCTAATGTGGCTCCTCCAGCGGGTTAGGCTTCTTCTGCGATTCCTGCAGCTGCTCAAAATGCTTGGAAGCAATGCCTTGGAGAGTTACGAACGCCGCATCCCTCTCGGAAATAGATCGAAGGAGGACTGCGATCTCGGCGTCTCGATCCAAGACTTGCTGATGATGGAGCTGGGCCTGACTCAACGCAGCTTCAACCTTGCCTTGCTTAGCTTCGATAGCCCGAGCAAGTTTCGCTTCACTCAGGGCTACAGCCTTTCGCAGTGAAGCAAGGAGATTAGCAGACTGCGTGGCAGCAGCCTCCAGTCGACACCTATTGTCCCGCCGATGAGAGCTGAGTGGACAAGTCAACATTGCTGAGGGCAGGAGTGTCCAATCGCCGAGTCAACGCGCGGTTCTCTTCTTGAACAGCTTGATTGTCGGCCCTGAGATCACCAATGATCTGGGGATAATCAAGAGCGGCGTAGTTGCCTTTCAAGATGTCCAACAGCTCCCCCGCGGAAAAAGCCTGCAGGATCGCTCGCCGCTGCACGGGATCGGAAGGTTCCACGGAACGAGTGAATCCGTAGGCCATGAGCCTTGCCAAGAAGGTCAATTCTTCTCGACGCTCGTATCCTTGCTCAGTAACCCTGGTCATTAGGGAGTCAAGACTCACTGGAGCAGCCGAGCTTGACTGACTGTTGGCGCCCGAAGTGGTGTCGCCCGGCAAGCTCGGTGGACCAGGAGGGCGCGCGCGAGAAGACTCCGCCGACCCCGCGTCAGACTCATGAGAAGTTGTCAGGTCGACCAACTCAGCTTCATGCCGGTCGCTGACCCCACGAGTACCGACGGGTCGAGGAATCGACTCAGCTGGCGCGCCTTCACCTCGACGAGGAGTCGGGGGGGGGGGAATGATGGCGCCGCGAATTGTGCTGGAGTGACATGCGAGGAGTAAGGAGCTGCTAAGTGAGCGACAGCGGAAGCAACAAACGTACCGAAGAAGGTGGTGGAGAGCCGCGAGACGTCATCAGCCGAGTGTGGACCAACGGTGGCAGAACCAAATGAAGGATTAAGACACTCACCAGCTCGGCTCGTATCATAACCGGGGCAGTTGTGGTGTAGGGATTTCCAAATTCGACCATACGCCAACCTACTTTAGATCAAGAATCGGCTCGGTCTGATAACCCAGAGCTTAGGAACAAAGGATCAGGGTAAGTACTCAGCGATCTGTCCGAATGATGCTATCCGGATAGCTGCTGAGCTCAACGGTCGCCTGAACCCAGCGGAAGGGTCGGTAGAAATCCGAAACGACTACATTTCACTAGGTATTTGTATGAGAAGCACATGATTAAATAGGAGGAGCCGAAAAGGTCCCCAGAAGATAACAGAGCAGAATTTTTCTAGTCCAAGACACGTGTACACTCTTCCGGTAAGTCCCTGCATAGGGCTGGATTATGCCTGCCGTCAATACTCGAGAGGCATAGCTTGTAGGGTATTGACTGGTAGCGCCAAGAGATTAGGTCGGTCCGTGTAGGACAAAGTCTCGCTACGTGCGAAAGAAAGCCCCGCACACTCAGCGGGCCGGTACGTCGGATAGCCCGGGTGCCGTAACACTTCTAGCTGAGCAGCCTCTGCGCTCGGTGACCTGTAAAAGCGCTCGCGCGCCGCCGTCCATCCTTTGGTGGAGGGCACAGGGTTTGTGAACGAGCTCAGCCGAACCAAACTCGGCGGAGCCTCGGGAGTGCTCTGACTTGGTTAGTCGGAACCGAGTGGAAGCGATCCACTCGTCTGTCCCGGAAGGGCCGAGCCGTGAGGGGACCACCCACTGCACAGGCCATACAACCGCCGGTCTAACTCGGCGATTTGTTGTAGTTTGTGTAAGGAATCCACATCTGACGGTATTTGTGTGTTCTACTACACCACAGTAAACTGTTCTGGGCTGTCGAGGTCTTCGAACGTGACGGCCAGATCCATTTGGATGTTGGGGACAGTGACGACCTTCCCGTTGGCCAGTCGCACTGACACTGCCCGTTGTCTCTGCTTGCCCTTAAAGCATCGGACAGCTTGTTGCTATTACGAGCCGCCGTCTGGCGGCGTACGAAATTCTTTGACGCCCTAGAATCGATCAAGATTGTGAAGGGGTGATCGTATCCTCGTACACATCCGTGTACTACAAGTAGCCCGACGTTGCTCTTCGCCGATTCGAGAGTTCGAAGACTCTCAGGGGCTAAGTCCCCGTGGTACGCGCCACTCGCGCACCTCTCGCAACGACTCAGTTCGTCCACAGTAGGGCGACCCGCCCCTACTGGTCTCCGGCGTCCCCCTGTCTTCGGGATCATGGCTTCTGCCAGCGACCCTAAACACGGGCTTGGGGAAAGTTCGCCTGCGATGTGTCTCTGCGGGACAGTCACGCTTGAAGTGGCCCAGCTTCCCGCAGCTGAAGCAGCGAATGTTGCGCTGTTCGGCGGACCCGCGCTCCATGGGAACTGATCCGGTGGGGCTGGCCCGACCGGGATGCAGCACAGAATTTCCTGGTCATGCTGAGGCCGGCGTGCGCGCCTGGCGAAGGCTGCACTCTTCTTGAAGAGCCACTTGAATATCCTCTTCGAGGGTGCTTGACAGCACCCGGAACAGCTGAGTGCGCGCCGGGCCCACTCGAAGGCTGTCCGTGAACACAGTCATATTGATGTGCTCGTTGAGTGGGTTTCCAACTAGGGACACCGTGATCTCCCGCATCGCTTGGACGTACTCGTGCAGCTCGTGCCTATCTTGCTCGTATGAGAGGAAGCGCGAACGCTGCCGATACTAGTAGCTCGTCGGGAGGAACGCCTCTTAGCACGACCGCTAAGGTTGGAGAGCGCAAAAGCAACGCGGAGTTGCTTGGTCGAGACCAGAGCCGCGTTCATCGCGAGCTCTACCTCTTGAACCCAGAACTGAAGGCTCTCACCTTCCTTCCCTTCGTACGGCTTCACCTCCAGCCGTATTGGCTTCGGGTGTGGCAAACTTATTTCCGCCGCCGGAGCCTGCCGATTTCCCCCCCCCACATGTGCGATGAGCCCTCGCTCGTAGGCGTCAAACGCATTGACACGCTCGAGCTGCTCGGACGGTGTTGACGCCACCAGGCTCTGCAGGGCCCCCATCCCGAAGATGCCTGCCATCTTCCGAACCGACTCGAACAGTGAGTCGTTTGGGTGGGAGAAGTCGTTCCTATCCATGGCGACGAACTTCAGAGAGGTTCAGTTAGTCCCCGCGTTGGTGTGGACTGACGACAAGTGCTATCAAGTGTGACGCGATCAGACAGCACCTTGCGCTAGGAAGTTGGCTTCCGAGAGTATACAAACTCTCAGTGCCCCTTTTGTCTAAGGGAGCAAAGTGACCAATTTAAGGTAGGTTGTAAACTGAATGTATTTAAAAGTAGGCAAAGCTTGAGTTAAATTTACAAACTATAAGTCACCGATAGTAAGCTATGTCATCAGCCAATTGACGACTGTGACGGGGTCACACAGCACCTTGCACAGAGGAAGTGCTTATGGTTATTAACTACCCGAGTGAACGTAAGTCCACGTGTTCCCGGCCTCAGTGGGAACGGTTTGCTACTTAGAGGAGTAGATTTAAGACTGGTGTATTTATAAGTAAGATAACCTTGGGTCTTATACAAACTAGAGGTTACCTATAGTGGAGCTAAGTAGTCATGCGCTGACTGGTTCCGAGAGCACCTGGTACCGTGTACCAGGTGTCCACAAGAGTGACGGGTCACTCTTTATGTAACATGGGGCACACTGGATTGTACCCACAGTACCGAAGTATTGATGTGTCACTCTTCATGTACCAGGGGTACACATGGGGTTACGTACCTCGTTACATTCACCCTCCCACAACATTTTGATCAGAAAATAAAACATTTTTTATGTTAAAGAAAAGTGTCTTTTTTTAAACTGTGTCCAAAGCCGAGAGCAATCTTTGACGAAAACCGAAGAGATCCCCTCCTCACGAAAACATGAGCGCGCAGTCTACGTTCTCGCAAACACCCACCTACAGGGCGCACCTCGCCAACCCCAAGGAAGTGACGGCCGAAGAAGCTCTTGTCTACGAAGGTAAATAGGCCGAGAAATGTCGATCTTTCCCCATCATGACTCTTATTTGCTCATTGTATGTAGAACTGAAGCGTGCCATCACTTTGCTTGAAACGGTGGTCAAGACTAACGCCAAGGAAAAGATCTCGCGCATCTTGCGAACCACCAGCAAGCTGCGCAAGACGCTGTCAGTGGCGCAGCTACAGCAGGCGGTAGAGCAGCTGCTTCCCTCGCAGAACGTGTCTAAGCCCGTGCTGCTGGCGCTGCTGGCCAAGATCGAGACCAAGGCTCAAGCTGCGGCTAGTGAGGCTCGTGCTAACGTGACGAAGGACCAGGATGTGGAGATGACGGACGCTTCATCGCCGGAAGTGGAGGCTACGACTTCTGCCCCCACCGCTGTGGTTCTCCCTGTGGTGGATCTCATTGAAGTGGAGATTTACTTGTTCTTGTACGTACTGGCGGCGTTGATGAAGTACAAGTTGGCTCAGGAGGCTCTGAACACGGTTGACAAAGTGGTGGATCGCTGTCAGCAGTTTAACCGCCGCACCCTGGATTTATTCCAGGCCAAGGTGTTCACGTACTACTCCAACATCCACGAGCAGTTCGGCCACGACCTGGCCGCTATCCGTAATACTCTGCTAGGCGCCCACCGCACAGCGTGTCTGCGTTACGACGAGGCTGGACAGGCAACACTGATCAACTTGCTGCTGCGCAACTACCTGAAGGACAATATGTACGAACAGGCCTATAAGTTCGTGAGCAAGACGACGTTCCCCGAGTCAGTGTCGAACAACCAGTTTGTGCGCTATCTGTATTACGTGGGCAAGATCCAGGCCGTGCAGCTCGAGTACACCGAGTCGTACACGAAGCTGATGCAGTCCATCCGCAAGGCTCCGGCTAACACGGCGTTTGGCTTCCGGCGCACGGTGTACAAGCTCGCAATTATTGTGCAGTTGCTCATGGGTGAGGTGCCCGAGCGTAATGTGTTCAACCAGGATGAGCTCCGCAAGGCGTTGGCGCCGTACCTGCAACTCACAAACGTAGGTTTGCTGAACGAGGTAGGCTCTGTGCATTATGGACGCTAACCTATTGTTTTCATCTTGATCGATGCGTTTAGGCTGTACGCGTGGGTAACCTGGAGGACTTCAACGTGGTTTTATCGCAACACGGAGCGGTTTTCAAGGCTGACAACACGTACACGCTGATCCTTCGGTAAGCACAACGAGATGTTGTCGACGTCAAGAGTCTGGAATAACTGATACGCTCTCTTTAACTTGCTCAGCTTGCGTCACAACGTCATCAAGACGGGTCTGCGCAAGATCAGTACTTCGTACTCGCGTATCCTGTTCACCGACATCTGTGAGAAGCTGGCACTGGAGAACGCCCAGAACGCCGAGTTCGTGTGCGCCAAGGCTATTCGGGATGGCGTGATCGACGCTGTGATCGATCACGAGAACGGCTGGCTGCAGCTGAAGGAGACGGTAAACGTGTACACTACCAATGACCCGCAAACGGCTTTCCAGAGGCGTATCACCTTCTGTCTGGACGTGCATAATGAAGCTGTCAAGGCCATGCGTTACCCGCCGGATGCCTACAAGAAAGACCTTGAAAGCGCCGAGGAGCGCCTCGAGCGCGAGAAACAGGAGGAGGAGCTTGCCAAGGTAATTGAAGACGAGATGGACGAAGGACTTTAATCCGGAAAGGGGCAACTGTAGTCGTGTTGCTGACAGACAAGTAAGTACCTGGTACCTGCAGCTATTTCGTTCAAAGCTAGATTGTGTGAGCTCGTGCTGCTCTCGCCGATAAGAGTTCGAAAGTAAGAAACCTCTTTTACTGCACGTCCAACAATCTGAAATGAGCAGCAGCGACGATATTCATGGCATTAAATTCTCACCACCTCAAGAGGGCGACCCCAACCTGACGAACGCATGAGTGCATTTCCTTCACATGGTCTTCGTTACAGTTCGGTCAAAGCCAGTGGCTGCATGCTGCTTGTAAAGACTTCCTGCTACTCACCCATTTGTCATTTACTTCTTCTGAGCCCAGAGCGGTGCCTGGTAGCGGTCTGAGTGGTATGGCGACTGGCCGACCACCCAGCCGGGCACATTCTTCATGACCTGGCGCTCCTTCTCCAAAATGTGCTTCTCCTGTTCCAGGTACCCAACGTCCGCCTCAGCCTGCAGGAACGGCAGCAGTGCGATGCGGTTCTCACGCTCCTCCTTGGCAGCCTCACGGTAGCGCTTGTTGTGCTGGCCCACGAGGTAGTAGCCCACGGACGTAACGAGGAACGTACCGAGGAAGAGCGACCATCCCGGTGGTCCGCGCGTGGCCGGGCCGTTCTTGACGAACTTGACGGGCTTGAAGCCACCCGGCGGCGGCATTTCCTGATTATGTGCGCGGAAGTCGGGCGTGGCCATGGCTGTGTTGATCACTCGGGCACTCGGGTTGGACGTCGGCGGCTCCTGTTGCTGGGCGTGAGTCCTGTCGGCAGCTTCGCTTCTCGACCTCAAGTTGTGTTGGCGTACGGGGGACCGTCGCGCAACAATACTTTTCCCTGTCAAAAACGCAAACTTTGATTTGGCAGGCATATATTTGATGTGTGCCACGCGATTGTTTACTGGCATTAAGGTGCGATAAAAGCAGGAATAGTTTTTCACCACCAACTCGGCCCTAGGACAACACGCGAGTCGCGCCCCAGTGAGAGCCATGGCCACCACCATCTGCCCCACGTGCTCCTGCACGGAGATCGACGTGGTGGATGTGAGCGGTGAGGCCGTGTGTGTGAGCTGTGGTACCATTCTCGAAGAGAACAACATCGTATCGTCTGTCGAGTTTCAGGAGTCTGGCGGCGGCGCACACTCGGTCGTGGGGCAGTTTGTGTCGGCCACAGCGTCCAAAGCGTATGGCAACATCGGAACCAGTGGACGTAACTACGGAATCGAGTCGCGTGCAAACACTTTAGCCAACGGAAAGAAGAAAATCCGCCAGATTGCAGGAATGTTGCGCCTGGGCGACCACTACGTGGACTCGGCCTTCCGCCTGTTCGCGCTGGCACTGCAGCGTAACTTCACACATGGCCGCAAGACGCAGACGGTTATTGCTGCCTGTCTCTACATCGTCTGCAGGAGAGAGCGCTCGCCGCACTTGCTCATCGACTTTTCGGACAAGTTGCAGATCAATGTCTACGTACTGGGCGGCGTCTTCCTCAAGTTCTGCAAGCTGCTACAGATCCACTTGCCGCTCATTGACCCGTCGCTCTACATCCACCGCTTCGCTTCGCAGCTGAACTTTGCAGGCAAAACCCATAGCATCGCCACTACAGCGCTACGTCTTGTGGCCACCATGAAACGCGATTGGATTGAAACAGGTCGTCGTCCGTCGGGTATCTGCGGTGCAGCGTTACTTATTGCAGCGCGCTCTCAGTCGGTCATGTGCAGTCTACACGATGTTATGGACGTCGTGAACATCGGAGAACGCACACTGAAGCAACGACTGTACGAGTTCTCGCTCACCCCGACGGCGCAGCTGACGTACGACCAAGTGGGCAAACTCGAGATGTCTCGTGTAGAGTGTGACCCGCCTAGTTTCCAGCGTCACCGTGAGAAGGAAGTCATGGAAATGCTGTTGCTTGAATCGGAGAAATTGCCACTGGAACAGAAGGGACAGAAGCGACTAGCGAGAGGGAGGAGAGACTCCGATGAGGAGAGTGACGAAGATGACGAAAGTGGTGGCGCATTGGCTAAGGGTATGCTGAACAAGAAAGCGCAGCGCTTGAAAGACGAGGAGATGTCTCGTTTCTTGAGTGGTGATGCGTACTACAAGAAGAAACAGGCAGAGGCGCTACTTGGTAGTAATGGCACGATTGTGGGCACGAAAGGTGGCGATAAGGCCGAAGACGGCGAAGAAGATGACATTGACTATGGATTTGACAACGCTAACGACCAGATTGTGAACCGCGCTAGTCGCTTGGCAGCACAGGAAGTTCTGCTTCGTGTGCGCAAGAAATCGGCTCGCTACATTATGCGCAAACGCGAAGAGGCAAGCTTCTACAAGACAATCGAGCGAGACCTTACCATGGCGCTCGAGGAGGATACATCCGCGCGAGCTAAACGAAGCGGAGGAAACAAACAGGAAGATGAAATCAACGGTGACACAGAACACAGCACTAGCCCTACAACTTCAGCAGACGACGAAGCCGTTTCCACGGTAATAAGAAGACGAAGGTCACGTGACCTAGCTGATAGTAGTAGTGAAAAGAGAAGAAGATCAAGGTCAGGCGGCGAAATTCATGAGCACGAGGAAGACGCAGAAGACCCAGAAGACGAGGATAAGGTGGCCGAGAAGCAGGACGAGGCTGAGAAAGAAGTCGCAAAGGAGGAAGCTGTGGACACGTTCTCGGACTTGGATGATGATGAAATCAACTCGTTACTACTGACACGAGAGGAGGCCGAGAAGAAGAAGTTGCTGTGGGAGAAGATGAACAAGGATTATATCCAAGAACAGGTACCCCCATGTTATCCCCACGTTAGCATGTAACATATACGCTGACGTTATGGCATTGCAGGAACAAAAACGGCTACTTGGCTTGTCAGCGCCCGATGCCCCGAAGAAGAAGCGAAGGAAGAAAACTCCGGACGTGAACGCGCCACCCCCAGATACGGCGCAGCACGCAATCTATGTGAGCATGATCACCCCACTCTTCTCCTCGTAAGCTTTCCTGACCTGGCACTTATCCCGTTTTACAGAAATTAAAGAGCCGACGAATCAACTACGAAGTCATCGATGAACTCTTTGGTGAGGCGGCAAGCAACGGGTTCTAGGATTGATCTCGCAAATTGGCAAGCTGGAGCACCTGTTGCGGATAGCTGCTGGAAGCATGGGCGACTAAATGCAACTGATTCTCACTCCTCCATTCTTTGTTGATGCAATGCTGAGCAAGCGTAATAGGTTCATGAGGATTTATTACTTCGAAAAAATATTTGAGTCTAGCCCTGATGCAGGGCATTGGTGCCGGGGCACTTATGTACAATATCTATTTAACGGCTACGAGTGGCGTGGCCAAGACGCAGTCAACACAACAGCATCTCGAGATCTTCCAGCGGCAAATGAGCGACTTCTCCGAGCTCTTTGGCGCTGTATTTCGTCGCGACGGCCGCCAGCTCGCTCGGTTGAGTCAAAAGTGACCACAGATCCTGAGCACACGGGACAATCGCCTCCACGGTGTACCCAGTGAGCTCTACGAGACGGGAGTTCCAAACAAGACTAGGAGTCTGGTTCTCAATGTAGCAATAAGCTGCAAGGAGGCACGCGCAAGCAATGACCGAGGAATCATATGTGGCTCCAAAAGTAAAGTCGAGCAGCGAACACTCTGCGAAGTAACTGGCGAGTTGACTGATGAGATCGTCGTCCTCCTCAAAGTGTTCCAGATAGTATCCCAGGAAGCTGCTGACACTCGGCACGGCCAAATTGAACTTAAACACGTTTAGCAGGTCTCTCTCGCAGTCCACCAGGTCAGCCTTGACGTAGGATCGCTCGCAGATGTACAGCAGATCGTCCATGTCACATGGGTAGATTTCCTCAAACTTTGAAGCAATTAACAATGCTGCGACTCCCACGAGTTGGAACCGTTGTGACTTGACGGACGTCTGCGCCATATATCGGTCGATGTAATTAATCGTCAGGAAAAGTGTCGGCGCCTCGAGTTCAAAACGCTGGTGTACTTCAACGAGCCAATCCACAAGAACGGAGCGCATTTTGGGGCTCACGCTTTGCTGTTTGGCAAAAATGTTTTCAGTAACGTGGTAACGATGTTCTCGTGCGCGAAGGCTTTCGTAGATGGAGCAAGCATACTCGTCCACTGTTCCAGGGGAGTAAATTCCAGGAGTAACAATGCATGCGTCCACTAAGGACTGATCAGGTGAAGCAACGAGACTTGAGTCGTGACAGAGCACGTCTTCTTCTGCCGGTTGTAGCTCCACCAACTCCTTCATAATCAACTCCTCCTCAAATACCGCTATAGTGTCAACAACCAGCGCCTTCATCTCCTGTCCCGTTACTTCCTCCACGCCATTAAACACCTCCATACTCTCGACCGGATCCTCTTCAAACTGATTATCATGTAGGTCGGTGGCCTCCAGCGTTTCTTCACTCGAGAAGTTCACGTTGGTCACTAATGGCTGCTTTGTCTCAAGTTCTTCCAGTGTACAGGTTGTAGACATATCCGGCATCTTTTTGTCGTTCAGATTAAGCGAGATAAGTTTGTCAATGTCAACGACGACTTCTGCCTTGTTCTCAACCTCCACTTCGGGTTTCAGCTCACTCCAATTGGGGTCGATCTTGATTTCAATAACTTCAGTCGTCGCCTCGCCGCTAGTCTGGTCTACAACAGAATACTGTGGCGCACTGAGGCCGTCGACTTCGTGGTCGGAGATGAACAGGTCCCGCGATTCCTCCTCCTCGTCAAAAGTGCAGTAGCCGTCGAAGGCGCCGCTGTTGCGTAGATCCACCTCGTCGTCCTCGGGCTCCGTCTCCAGCAGTTCAGAGGAGGCTGAAAGCGACTTCGGTCTTGGTTTCTTCGAAAATGAAGCTGAAGCGGCTGAGGACACATCCGTGTCCACGTCGTTGTTCTCCTCCTGTTCCGAAGCCTCGGGCAAAGTAAAGAAGACTTCCTTCTCCGCTGTGTTTGCTCGAGCTACAGCCTTCTGGATGCCTGCGACTGTCCACTTGAGGGGCAGCTTGGCGTCACTCGTTCGACGACCACGTGCTAGCAACTCGTTCAGCTCGTCCTCTTCCTCGTCTACAGTGCTGTAGCCACCCAAAGAGTCGTAGAACTCACGCTGTTTTTGCGCCAGCTGAGCCTCGATCTCAAGTGCAAGCTCCAAAGGGAGCTGTGGAGCGGTGACGACCGCTTTCGCGACTGTCAAGCTCGGCGCTTCTGCCACTGCGGACATCCCATAGCAAGCCTCGGCGACGACATATTCTCGACTTGCGTCCTGCAGGGACCGGCCACTTGGCTCACTTTTGAAACGATCATCGCTTTCGTTTGCGCCGGCGACATCTGTCAGAGCCTCGGCGGTGCGAGCCCAGGCCATTCCGCTCGGGACCGTCGCTATGGTATTGTTGCTATTGCTAGTCTCCGGCTCATCGTCCGTGTGCTCGCCGACAACGGTCGGGGAGAGCAGCGTGTGACGCTGTTTACGCTGTGCGCGGCGAGCCTCCCGTGCCGCTCGGCGTGCAGCCTTGCGCTGATGCTTGGCCTGTTTTTTCTCCAGTCGCTGTTGGACGCGGCGTTCGTGACTCTCGGCGTCGAATGCGCTGCGCAGCAGCTGCCACTGGGACTGAACTAGTGCCGATATTTCGGTGAAGACCATGGGCGTTGTTCGACTCCTGTAGGGAAATGGATCGCGCTGAAGAAGTTAGCAGGTGGGAAGTTCCGTTACGAGGCTCTCTTTTTTCTTAGTCCACGGGGGTTGTCTCGCCCCCGTCGAGCGAGCTCAGCTTGGCGTTGACGCTGCAGTTTCCTAGCAAATGCCGCTGTGTCTGCGAGGGCTCCTTGATACGAGGGAAACCGGATCATCTGAGAGTGCTACTTTTTTTTTTGAAGTCGTGGCATCTGACAGTTGTACGGATTCGGCTCGCTAACTTTACGCCAGTCTCACGTGTTTTTGAAAAGGGAAAAATTAACAGAGGTCAAAACGATACAAGCAACTTTATTTGAAAGATCAAGTTTCACAAGGAGTTTAAACAGAGGACCGTAAAGAAAAGCAGTATCAACAGCTCTTCCGAAGAGCGAACCCACTTGGGAGACATGAGCCACATGGTTACCGACGAGTCGGCGACGACCTCACGCCGACGACCAAGGATTTGTTAGCCAAGTGAGCGACGTGCCGGTGAAGATGCAGACTGGTACAAGCTTTCATTAATACTCCTATTAGAATACGCGCGGCGCAGTATTGGCGCTACCAGTTTGGCATTGGAAGTTACGAGAGAAATTCTTGTTGTTCCATTTATCGGTAATTTACAAGGGGAGATGAGACTCGGCAACGTTGCGTGCCTTTTCTTGATTGAAAATTAAACTATTTAAGTAGACAAATTAAACGTTGGCTTCCCATGAGTGGAAGACAATAACGTTTATGTAGGAGATCTTCTGGTTTGCGGGCTCTGTGATGGATGACCTCGTTCACTGAACTAGATGCTCAACGATGTCAGCTACTTAGAAGTATTTTTTATTAGATCCATTACGAAGCGGAGTATAGAGACGGTTTCTTTTTATCTTCTTATTTACCGTGGGAAATTACAGTTTTCTAGTGCAGGAGCTGAGATAAAACGTAGTAACTCTGGATGATATTGACTCCAGCAAGCTATGTGATCTCGCTGTATGTAGTGACAAAATACATAAGTTTGTGTTTATACAATTTCGTTTTTTTAAACTTAACAGTAAAAAATTTGACAGAACACGAGCCTACTTATTTAATTTAGCTTCAGAATAAAACCCTTGCACCATCGCATGTACAAAAGCCCATTTGGGTGCAGCTTCTTGGAACAAGCGGCGCAAGTTAGGCTTTTCTTTCACCGAAGAGTCATTTTCGAAGGGACACGTATACTATACGGTAATATTCGGTTAAATTGTTTTAGTGACTGTGCTAGAGCTGCTGTTGTTTCACAGAGTAAGGAGTCTCTGCTACGATTCCACTGATAACCACTGAATACGATGCCAGGCTACGTTTCTTTTTTTTGATACAGTAGAACAAACTTTCGCTTGCGCAGTACATTATATACATGCCTTGGCAATGGCTGGTATCAATATTACATGCCAGCGATTGCCAAAGCCTGTCGCGTCCATTGTGCGTGCTGACAATCTGTCTTAGGACGAGTATTTCTTGCGAGTGTGCGAAGTAAGATGAGCGTTGAGTGAGGACGAAGCCTGGCATGCCTCCAGTAACTTTGAGCCGAGCCACAGTAGTGCGTTCGGTTAGATACTCTTGGACTTCGACTAAAAAGATCGGTTTCATTATAAGGCCGTCGCTGCCGTGTCGCCAGGGTCGTCACTAAAAGGCTTTTAGTGAAAGCTCAGCGATGGACGAGCTGGTAGCTCAGGTGTTGCCTCCCGACAGCGTCACCAAGTTGCTGCGGGTATTCTGCTTCCTGCGACAGCACGACCGCAAGACCCGCATCGTGAAGAAGACGTCGGAGCTCAACGCGTGGCGATCCTCACCACAGGCAACGTCGCAGCGCACGGATACCGATGAAGAGCCACAGCAACCTTCGCCGACCGAGGTGACGGACGTGCTCGCGGAGCTGAACCTGCTCGCCAGCAGCGAGGAACCAGACGGGTCAGCGAAAGCCGCGAGCGGCAAGAGGGGGGGCGCAGGCTGCCGCAATGTGACGGCGGTCGTCGCGAAAACCAGCGATAGCGTGCCGACAATGCACGAACTTCGCAGCGAGATCAAGGAGCTGCAGAAGGGAGTCATCACCGGCAGTACATGTAGCGATACGTCCGGGGTCATCACCGCGGCGGACTTGAGCTCGTGTATGCGGAGCCTGAATCGAATTCCCACGAAGGTAACCCTCGGCAACGACGACCGAAAAAAATGTCGTGCTTGACGCTTTTACTACATTTATATTGTACATGCATGATGCTTCTCGCAGGGCGAAGTGCAGTGGATGATATGGGAGGTTGATGACGATCTGGACGGCAGCGTGAGCTGGGAGGAATTTAAGGGTTGCTACGTTCGCACACTGTTGGATTCGCACGGGCTTGAGCTCAACCAGCTCTACTATCTTATTCAGTTCCTCCTTTGTGACACGGACAGCAGTCAAACCGTCTCAGGTCAGTGACCGCTTGTTTTCCCGCATGTCAAAGAACCGATCTTTTCAGCCTCAACAACTGAAAGATGGCGTGTCGATTTGTGCACAGCGGACGAAATCACGGCAGAGCTGCAGCGCATTGGAGGCACAGAGCACCTCACTACAAAATTGTGGTCTGTACTGGAGGGCGAGAATGAGGAACAGCAGCTCCTGCGCAAACTGTCGCTGTCCGAATTCTTGGACGCCATGCTTGGCGACCTTCCTGCGTGCTTCAACTTGCACTGAACACCATAATCACGGTACCTCCAAATTGGTGCTCGATTAAGTACGATCCTTTGATTCCTCTGAACCAGAGGTACAGACAAGACACCGCAGCAGCGACAGTGACAACAGCAATCATCAATAAGTAAGAAGACATGTCGGGACCTCTTGGCAGAATTATCGCGCAGGTGGTGGTCATGGGCGCGGGCATCGTGTCCAAGGCCTTCGTGCAGGCATACCAGCAGGCTGTACACAACGCTCGCTCGGGCAACGCTGGCGCCATGGCAGCCAAGACTGTGGTGCGCAAGAACCAAATGCCCAAGCAGCAAGCGCGTGAGATTCTCAACTTCCCTACGAGCGGACCTGCGCCATCCTCGGAGGAGATCCAGAAGCAGTTTACAAGGTACTTCGAGGCGAATGACCCAGCCAAGGGTGGCTCGTTCTATCTACAGTCCAAAATTTTCCGAGCCAAGGAGGCGTTAGAGCATAAAGAAACAGACGAAGAAGCACCGGCGACCGACAAGACGAAGGATAAGTAGGTTAACCGTGCCGAGTACTAGCTGTGCTCTGAAGTAGACGGGTTTCCCTCAATGTCACTTGCGCGGCAGCGAGGCTTGACTGGGATTAAGAAGTTACAACGTAGCTGGGCCTCCTCTTCGTCGCTTGGACGTGAGGCGGAGGCTGGCGTCCTGCATAAAGCTCTATAATATACCTATCGAGGCGCCTTGGCCATGGCTAACCATCGCATCATTGCTATCTCCTCTGGAACGCAGTTGGTTGGTTGAAAACCCAGTATGCTCCGAGGTACCGGCATTAATACATTCACGTCCCAGTTGTTAATCGGAGCGTGAGCATTATGGTACTGGCGAATGTGCGCGCGGGTGGCGCCATGATAGGAGCGGCTGTGCGCAGCGGCGCGGCGGCTTTCAGCTCAGCGGGCCGCGTGACGTTCGAGGAGCTTACGGCTGGTGCCGATGCTGAACAGCTGCAGTTCATGAAGGAACAGATCGTGCAGGTGGATGAACAAGACAATGTAGTGGGCCCCATCAGCAAGAAAGACGGTAGAGCTCGCCGTTGCAATTGCACCCGAGTGATTAACTGAGTATTCTGCATTGATATGGATAGCACACATCCACGACGGCGTGTTGCACCGCGCTTTCAGTGTTTTCGTCTTCAACTCGAAGAACGAGCTGCTGATCCAGAAGCGCGCGAGTGAGAAGATCACATTCCCGAGCTTCTGGGCCAACACGTGCTGCAGGTAAAGTATTGGTGCATTGTTACGATGGCTGAGAGAAGCTTGACTTGGGATGCTTAAAATATGACATTATAGCCATCCGCTCTTTACCGAAGGCGAGCTGGAAGACGGATTCGGAGTGAAGCGGGCTGCGATTCGCAAACTGGAGCACGAACTCGGCATCCCTTCGTCCATCTTTGCCATCGATGACTTGGCCTACGTCTCGACGGTCATGTACAAGGTAGGTTGCAGCGCTTTTCTCACAGCTGTAAGGGATAAAAATATTCATGCTGCCTATATTTGCAGGCCGCGTCGGACGCCAACTGGACGGAGTATGAGATGGATCACATCCTCTTTGCACGTGCTGAAGTGCCACTGGACAACGTCAACAAGAACGAGGTGGAGCAGGCCGAATTCATTGCTCGTGATAACCTGCCCGCACTGCTCAATGATTCTACGCGCAAGCTGTCGCCGTGGTTCCATCTTATCGGATCGAACTTGTTGCCGCACTGGTGGGACAACCTGGACGCTGTCCTGGAGAAGGACAACATGGACCGTCAGATCCACGACTACCGCTAGACATCGACGTTTTCTCTTTGAATTCGATGCGCATCGCACCAAATAGAACAAGCACACACAAAGAAACGGTGCACTTCAAACTCGATACAACATGGAGCTGCTTTAGGTCTTTTATTTTGCTTTGCCTAACTTGAAACTTCGCTTCGGCTTGTTGGAGCCAACTTGGACAGACTCGCGCCAATATTCGAAAAGAATGAGCCGATTGAGTACTTCGAGAACTGGGACATACGAAGTGAGGCACTACCAAGGTATTCTCCATTCTTGTCCGTTCCGGTCCAGCCCACGTAGATCGTGATGTCACATTGCGCAGTCGTGTTGGTAGTGCTGCTAGTGGCGTTTGATCCCGATGAACTGCTATCCCCAACATCGATACTCGCATCGGATGAGTTGAAGGAATTGCCAGTGCAGCTATCGACAGGAGTGAAGCACGTTCTGCCTAGACCGCTGAGTCGCGCCGAAGTCGTTTCCTCAGGCTTTGAAAAGAGATTATAGTCGCACGTATCTGCAGTGCAAAAGTAGCAGCCTTCGTCCCAGCTTACGCCTTGTACGGCACCCTTCTTTACGGATATGATAGCGGTCATGTACGGAGAGATGTGACCAGTCGCGGCGGATGAGTAGAGCTTGTAGTTCGTGCGATACTTGAGACTTGACACGGTGAGGAATGCACTCGAGGGGTTGGCACCTATACGAGTATCATTCCAGGCTGAAACAAAATGCAAAAGGAAAACATACCAGCCAGAAAGGAGTTAGCGATCATTTTCCTCGAATGACCCCAAATGCGTGAAATACCCACAGTCGCTGATGCGTAGTACGGTGAACTTGTCAGCGACTGGTGTGAAGAGCGTACGGTATTTATTATTCACGTTGACACAAACATAAGTGATGACTCCTTTCACGACGAGCGGCACGGGGTCGGACGGCGAACAAATGCTCGACACGTTGGTCTGCATGGCTTGCACGCTGGACAAGGAGATCACCACTGCCCAAGCTAACAGCAGCCACACACGCAGAGCCACGACGCATTTCTTCTGCGTGGGGGACATGTCGATCAACGCAGATCCTCGCAAACGGAAGAGCAGCGAAGGGAAGTTTTGCGTTTGCGAGTCTGCAATGCAGGGCTTTCTCGCCGTTTTCGACACGGCTACCCAAAAATAATAGCGATCGGCACGAAACCACTGAGGTTAAACTCTGAAGCAATTTGAAAAAGCGGAGAAGCGAATTGGTCGGGGATAGCCTCGACTCGTGTGGGCTCACGTCAAATTCATTGGCCACGAGTAATGCATGTATTCCTGTACAAGATGTAGTTACTTACTGAGGCACACCTTCTACTAGCCCAGAATGGATCCCACTATCGCCATGTTCATCAGGGAGTGCGTGACCTGCAAGCGAGCCAAGCTTCACGGCGGGAAACAGGACTACGGGCTCCTCCCACCACGAGCGCTAAAGACCGTCAATCCATTTGACGTACTTCACGTCGACCTCATCGGACCGTACGAAGGTAAAGGTTACGGGATCACCATGATCGACCAGGCGACGCGCTGGCTCGAAGTCGGTGTCCAGCCTGACAAAGGGTCCCTATCCACAGCTGAGAGCTTCGACCGCGAGTGGCTGTGTCGCTACCCGAGACCTCGCATGGTTATCCACGATACGGCCTTGCGTTCACCGGCGAACAGTTCCAAGAGCTGCTTCGAAGCTACGGGATCAAATCCAAGCCCATCACTGTGAAGAATCCGCAGGTTAACGCGATCTGCGAACGGGTGTATCTGGAGATCGGCAACGTCCTCCGCTGCCACGAGGGTGCCGACTGGAGGAAAATGATCTACTATCGCTGTACGAGCCAGCTACCACAGTGTGCTCAGCGCGTCTCCGGGACAGCTTGTGTTCGGGCACGACATGACATTACGCCAACCGCATGGAGCTACTTGTCCAAGCGCAGTTTCAATGCAATCCTCACCGAAAAAACAACGACCGTGAAAACGACAGGAGGCTTGAGCACATCTACAAGCCTGGGGATCAGGTGATGCTACGAGTCCTTAACCACTTTCGTGCCAAGCTACAGCGAGTGGCGGACGTACCATTTCCAATTAAGATCGTCCATGATAACGGCACCGTCACCATTGATAAAGGTGTATCGCAACAACAGGTCAGCGTGCGCCGAATCTTCTCGTGCTAACTAGCACTCCTTCATGGGGGGGAGTGTGACACGGGTGGTAACACTGCACATTGCGGGTGGAAGAATCGATCGTGTACCCACTTGCTGTGGAGGGCGAGAGGACAGCTGATTGCACAAGTACGAACCACAGATTGTCAGAGCTAGAGCTAGATGAAGTAAGCTAGAGCACGGCAGTCTTAATCATCAAATTCATTCTCCATTTTACCTTATGCCCCGCAGTCCCTTTCAAGCAAGACCTAAGGACTCGATTTACTCCTCTACAAGCTACGGGCGTGTAACTCGTGCTGTGCTGGATGTGTTCAAGAAGGAGCCACTTCCACATCAAATTGTACTGTGGTCTCATCTATCCGTACTGCTCACCCCTCATGTCGCCGCGTACCCTTTTGCAGAGGACACGGCTAGCATTTTTGTGAGCAATTTCAATCGTTATTTACGTGGTGGGACCATGACCTACAAGGTGGATTGGGCTATAGGCTACTAAGTCTTGAAGATGCTGGTTTCCTCCGCGGGAAATATGTGGAGATCGAGGTTACGGAGTGGTTCAATTATATGATACTTTACCTTCGCTAGGTATAATATATCTATCTCGGAGCAATTTCAAATATTTGAGACCACCCAAAACAAAATATTACTTACGAACCATTTAGAGTTATCGAGATAATCGAGCGTAAAGTTGGCCAATTGATTTTCGCACTTAACCGAAACTTTGACATTTATTGTAAACTTTAATTGATAAAACTGTAAAACTACCCTTATTTAATTGCTTTTAACAAGAGCTTTTGAATAACACTTGAATCTCTTAAAACTGAAAAAAATATTGAGCTCACAACACCCCTAAATGTATCGTCATTTCGAGGGCTCATAAATGGAGATAATATTTTTGAGCGACCACAACTTCTTCAGTTTTAAGCCTTCTGTAGCTTATAAGGACTCAAGAGATAGAGGAGACGTCCCGCTTTCGTTTAGAGTGCTTAAATTGCGATTTACTTAGGTTCGTAAGTATCATTTTGTTTTGGGTGACCTCATATTTTTTAATCAAAAACTGCAAAAAGTTCGAGGTAATAAGCTTGCCAAAATCTGTCCAAATTGTCGAAAACAATTTTAGCGAATTAGTAGCTTATTGCGTTGTCTAATCTCCAATGGAGGCGAGCGTGCAAGCGCCCATAGCTGAAGCAGATTCGCGCGGGAGCTGTATTTGCGTAGCGCCGAACGTCCTAAACATGTCCTTTTATATTTCGTACTTAACGCGTCTTTAGGAGAAACTTGTCCTAAAAAAACTACGTTAAGTACGCTTTGTTAAGCACAGGCTTATGGTTCTGGTGCAGGTATTCGTTCCAAATCTCAAATAAAAACAGGTCTAAATCTAGGACATTCTATTCGACACCGAGCATTCCAGTACACCCAATCTTTAAATCGCGAGCGGAGCGAACAATGAGCGCGAGGGGGGGGGGCTACTGTAGTCACTAATATCGGCTTGAATAACTGTAAATTAGTCAGCGAGTAACTCACTGAACAGGACCAAAACGGCAAAATTAATAGGCATTTATTACAATACTCCGAAGAAATAATAACATGCGCTTATAGTAATGCTTACTACTCCTCGGTTCTCTTGCTAACCGCGGTCCATTTATCGGCCATCCGAGTGATATCTTAACTCTTGCCAGACACAAACGCCGCCAGCATACGATGCCCGAGCTCGTCCGACCAAAGGAATCATCTTGCCGGCTGAATTATTGCCCAAAGCAGATTGGTTGCATTTGTCGCTCTCATCATGTTACGTAGGCCTGATGTTTAGCTCACTTTTCACCATGCCCTCGTCCGACAAGGCAATGCAAAATTTACCGGTACATGTGCATATGCAGCTTAGATTCGCAAACGCCGAGCAGCAAGTATTTGAACTAAATAAATGGTTGCGAAAGGCTTGATTTTTACTACTATATGTACATGTAGTAGTTGACACAATGCATGCTTCTTAAAAACAATGGTTTAAATGGGAAAGGACGGTATTTTTATTACCCATGTGCTTCATTCCTATGCAGCCATCGTCTGCTACGAACCTTAAAATGGTACCACAACATGTCCACCAAGCATGACTCTGCGCTCTAGAACATCTCTGCCCAAAGTCCTCAATATCATTGCTTTGGCCATCAATTCCTCAGGTGATCCTCCACTTAACAGCCCGTGCCACTGATCAATATCGAGTTTGCTTGCCTTCTTGTTAAGCACCGTCACATACTGCGTATAAGTCTTGAACTCGTCGATCTTGCTCACTTGATCAAATGGGAGTGAATCCAAGCCAAGGTTTTCCCAGGCTTTCGTTGTAGTAGCCTTTTCCTCGAGCCAGCCGCCAATCTTAAACTTTTGAAAGAGCTTGAAATTTGGGTCGTCCGCCAGGCTCGTTCCGGGCAATCTCACGAGTTTTAGCTCGCTCAGGACAAAGTCGTCAGTAACTTTGTTCTGAATCCAAGACTCGATTTTTCGGTTTTTAACGAAGGACTCGATAAACGACGGCAATTTCGACACTCTAGCTTCGTCGTCGCTCATCGTGGCCGTGCGCAGTTGTCTTGCACCGCCACCTCGTTCAACAGTCCTTGGAACCTTGTCGTGGTCGAATCCGGCAGCTTTTGCATGCATACACAACAGGGCAAACGTCGCAAGCAGCAATACGCGGTGCATTAAGCCCATTCTGCTTGAGTCTTCTTGGGGCTTGAGTTCTAGGAAGAAAACAGTGGAGTGGTGGCTTCAAAAGCAAAAGTAGGTCGCCTACAGTAGCTTTTATTTACTGGCCAGTGGCAGTAAATTACTGCCACTGGCACTGCCACTGCCAGTGGCAGTGCCTGGGTCACCCAGGCACCCATCTGCCCACCCAGTGGGTGGGCAGATGGGCATTCTCGCCAGTTGCCACAAACAGTCCATGATGATATCCAAGATGGGGCTATGGTTCGCTGTCTGCGAGTCATTCTGTACAAGTCACAGATACTACAGATTCTGTGAGAAGTGCATGACCATGGAATCCACTATTAAAATCGCCTAAAGCTCGCACCAATATCCAATTTAGGCGGGATATACATGTAGTTCGTTTCTTGCTGGGTCTATTAAACGTTGTCAACGCACGGCTTGCGCGACAAAAGTTAACGAGCCTTGGCGTCCATAAGGAAATCACATCCATAGCTCTAGATGACGGTAGAACAGCTACAGTAGAGAAGTTGATCATCACATACTGTCCACACAAGGTACACTTATTGCGTTTACAGTCGCCTGCACCAAGCAGAGAAAACTCAACCAAAATGACGTTGGAAATCAAAAGCGCAATCCAGCGGTTATCACACGGAACGTCTAACGTGCTGTTAAGTAATTCTTAATAAGTCTTCATACCACAAGTCTCCGATTCTGCTACTGCCAGTAGTATAGTTTTTAATTGTAGCCTACTGGTAAGAAACACTCCTGATCAAGTTGTTACCAACGAGCTCAAAACTAAGGCTGTACATGTACTAATACCAGTACAGCCTGTAGTACAGCCTGTATTATAAATGTACTGTCATATCGGACCGGTAGTTTAGGTACGGACTTGTGT